ACGAAAAAGAAGCTTCCGTAGTGTTCCGTGACTATAGTTGGTTTGACTGTTATATATAGTCGATGATTTTTTCCTCTATCTTTGTATTTAATATAATAAAATAAAAATATAATTATAATATAGTAATAAAAATTCCATGTTGAGGTTTTTTATTTGATCCACTGATTTAACTTAAAATAGTGTAACGTATATTTCACCAAAATGTTATATCTTAAAAATTTGAGCTCCTAGGCAAAAACTAATGCCATATTTGAATTCAGGGCATCAAATTCATATGAAATCAGCTCCAAATACCCCGGCACCAAAACAGCTGTTGGCCTGTGTTATCCCTCCATTTGGNTCCCGCCAACCAAATGCCAGGATAGTACCTCAATTAGGGCATGACACTTAGTTCCAAATCCTTTCCAGTTCATTTTTCACAAATTATCCCTCCATTTGATGCTGTACCGTTTGATGCACTTACAGCAGTGTAAGATTAAGTAATATACTTGAGACTTCATCAGGGCACATACAGGAACATGCTGAATGTATGTTTACATTTTACAACCACAATTATTACAGTCTACACAATATCATGAAATAGATCATTACTAAAACTAGTGTGACACCTGTAACTGATCGACATATGTAAGATGTGGTATAATTAACCATCCATATCATTAGGTGTATGCGTGTCACTATAGACAGGTTGTGGATCGGTAATTGGATTTATTGGCCATTTACTGATTGTAACTAACTATAACACTATTGCTAGTTCACACACTCTGCAATTCACTACTGCACACACTAAGTCTTTTCAGTCTGCTCTGTCTACACCAGTCATTGCCTGGTAACTGCTTCCAACGGTGGATGTTCCCCTTACTCGGGGTTCCTGAACAACCCTGTGCATCAGCTACCAGTTTCTAATGGCAGCTGTCCTCTAACTCACCGCTCACCAACCAACTCACTTCACTCCACTGTACTCAACTGCATTGCACTCACTAACAGAAATGAAGTCGATCAAGTTATATCGCCCCAGAGTAGACCCACAGAGAATGCTGCTTGCATAAGCTCTTCTGTTGTTGCGTAACTTTACTGTGTATATGACATGTTCATCTGATGCACATGTACGGGCCATTACCTAGCAGTGGGTCCATCATGATGCCAGGAATTATGGAAGATGGTAAAAATTGTGACAGAGAAAGGTGGAAGAATAGAACAGTGAACTAACATGGTTCAGACTGTTCTCAAAGGATGACAGAATTTAATTGATTTGGAGAATTATAAAGTAAAACATATCTGAATAAAGGAGAGCCACTTGAGCAGAATCAAGTACATTTTGTACTGCACTGGAAGTGTTAAGAGCCTAATGTAGTTCACTGTGAGGCCAGATTCCATCTCAGTCCTCATCCATTCATAGTTCATACTAATTTTATTATAACAGCTAAATGTTTCAGTCGGGCATGTGTTTTGCTCTGAAATGTACAACTGTAAAACACTCTTATGTAATTGTTTGCTTGGCAGACTCATATGTACAGAACTGCAAGCTTAAACAGTGGCAGCAGTTGGCTGTGTAATTTACAGAAAGCAGCGTCCTTATAACCATGAGGGTACGACATAGATTAAGGATGTTTGAGAACAGGGCGTTGAGGATTACCCTGGAAACTCTGGAAGGTAATAACAGGAAGCTGATGAAAAATGCCATAAAGAGAAACTTTACAATTTGCATTCTGCATCAGATATTATTAGGGTGATCAGATGAGTATAAGATGGACAGAACATGTAACATGTATGGTAGAAATGAAATAGGCATAAAAACTCAGCCGCATGGGAGACCTAATCATAGAAAGGAAGATAATGCTAAAATTTCTCTTAACGTGAATATGTGGACTGAACTCACCTCGCTCAGGATCCAGGGAATGGGACAAGTGGCAGACCCTTGTGAATGCAGTAATGAATCTTCTGTTCCTTAAAAGACTATGAACTTTATAATAGCAGAGCAACTATCAGCTTCCCAAGAATGTTTCAGTTATGTAACTGTTTCTTTCCTGAGCACTGCAAGATAACTGGGATACTGTTCCACATGTAAAGAAAATTGTGCAGAAATTATGTTGTTTCAGGTATGCTACTGGTCGCACAACTGGTGTTGTGTTGGATTCAGGAGATGGAGTTACACATGCTGTGCCAATTTATGAAGGTTTTGCAATGCCTCATAGCATCATGAGAATTGATATTGCAGGACGAGATGTGTCGAAATATCTCAGGTATGGCCAGCTGGGAATGTAGGCAGATGGTCTTGGTTTTAATCTAATTGTTGTGTTCCATCTATGCAACTCTAAGAATGTATGCCCAGTCAACTGTTTATTAATAATCACTACATGTATTGACTGTCCGAATGGTCATCATCAGGTGATGACAATACTTACAAGTGTTTTTGAATTGCAACCGTTTTAACTAACATTGGACCCATATTTACAGTTGTTTATGTCTATTATGTGTGCTCGATTCATTGATGTAAATTATAAAATTATAAATTATAAAGTTGCTACGTTATAGTCTAGATTAGGTTGCAATTAAAGGAACACTTAAGTATCGTATTACATAAATGATATAATGATATAAACTCCGGCCCAAGTGCAAACAATATATTATGTGTCCTTGATCTTGCTCCTTTACACAACATGTTTCAGCCTCAGACGGCCATCATCAGGTGTATAACACTGCACCCAGCCCAAGATAATGATGATTGTTGTTCCTATTGTTATGTTTGTCATTAATTTTGCTGGTTAGCTTGGAATTAATACATCTCACTCAGATTTGGGAGATGCTGTGCGGGGGTGGTTATCGTGGCAAGGTTGTCACTTTCTTATGTTCATACTAATGAATGCCATAAATACCATACAATACAACAAACTAGAGTACTTTCTGCCAATTCATCATTCATAATTGTCCTACCATATATTATTCATTTTTAAGAAACCTCATCAGTTGACACAGAATCATAAAATAACTAAGTAGACAGTTGTCATCAACAATTTTATGTGTTTTCACTGAGACCTTTGTAATATATAATCCTTTCTTACATAGGCTGCTGTTACGTAAGGAGGGAGTCAACTTCCGTACCACAGCAGAATTTGAGATTGTACGAACAATCAAAGAAAAAGCATGCTATCTTGCGAGCAATCCTCAGAAAGAAGAAACTGTTGAAACTGAGAAGTACCAATACACACTTCCTGATGGCAGTACATTAGAAGTATGTTTTCTTTTATTTTATATGTATGAAGACTGAATAATAAATGAAATCTTTATAGGTAGTAGCAGTTCGGTGTTTAAAAGTGAAAAAACCGCATATGTTTAATAGTGATGCGAACTTGGTTGATTTAAAATTGTTATAACATTTTGTGCAAAAAAGAAATAATATGGAACTAAAACAATATATAGGGCTTGAAGTGGACAACCATGTTTATGGTGTATGTGTCAAAACCTGACCTTAATATCTATTTGCATTACAGAGCAGTATTTGTACTGATTTAGGTACAGTTGTTTGTGGAATTAAGTCAGTTTACAAGGAGATTCATAGAATAGCACACTGGAAGCTAATGGGCCATGTCCAGGAACTTCCCAGAGTTGGTAGATTTCGTGGTAACTCTCACAGCAGCTCCTATGGCAAGTTTGCCGCTTACTAGAAGATTACATAATTGTCAGGTCTGCTGTTGCTAAGTGGTTGTTATCCTGTTGACAACCCACAATGTGGTAATGACTAAATTTCACTCTAGGCCCCAAGAAAGTGAGTACTAATCACACATGTAAATTGCCACATTGTCCGTGTGGCCTGGGAAAATCCTGTGGTAATGCAAAAATGGAGAGGTTACTGTCACACAAACAAATTTTCATTAGAACATTAGAAATTTTGAATTGGAATATTTGTTTGTGTGATGGTTACCCCTCCATTTACGTTTCTAAGCACCACATATATGATGGAAAGCAGAAGATATTGTCGTGTGTTTGCTAGGCAACACGACAAGACATTTTTAGCCGTTCTTTCGAGAGTTTGACATTTAAACGGTCCAGATAATGTAATGGTGGTAGTCTTTCATGATTATGAAGTTAATCTAATCTAATTTATGTAGGAGTGTGAAGTATGTGTATAATACTAACATAGTGTCCATAGAAATTCAGCTGGAAGTTTTCATCCCTTTTATAATATGTCTTATATGGTTTTGATCATTTTTTTATGACTGTATTTTAAAGCATCATGTTTTCAATATTACAGACTTGACAATGATATTATTATTGTTGTTGTTGTTGCAATGAAAGGGTAGGTAAAAGTAAATGTTCTAGCCAATTTAATTTTCTTCTTTGATTTAAGGTTTAGAATGAATGAATGTATAAGGGGTGGGCCTTCTTGGCCCTTGCACCATGACCTAAAGTGATCTATTGTGCTTCCCCTTTTGATTATCCCATCAGCAATCCTGCGCTTCAAATGAAGCGCATGATTTTGTACGTAGGTGCATCAAAATAGTCACTTGGTTCCCAAGTGACATAATCTTAAATAAGCTAAGGCCTCACATTCACACAGGATATGTGTGGCTGTTTCATTCGTTCATTCATAGGGTTTAGAAGATAAAATTGTTATGAATATATGATTAATTTTGCGAGTGCAGACTCTAGTGAAAACCCACAAGTTCACATCGTGGTTACTCTGGAGAACTCTCTGGAACAGGCCTGTGAAAGCAAATAGTGTCTGTTACAGTTTTCCTTTTTAACTTATTGTCAGGTCCCGGATTTTGATGACCTGAAAATGTTTAAACAATGGCCGAAAAAATCCAGAAAAATGACCTAAAATATTACCCCAAAATGTAATATGTCAGAGTATGTACTAATTATTTTAAAATGTATTTTTAATCTTTATTAACACTGAACTCATCTTTACTCTTTTAAGTTCCTCATTTTTATGTTGAAAATTAAGCAATATTGAATTTGAAGCTAAATGTTTTATACGATTTTTTCTACCATGTTGGAACGCTTATCAAGTGTACATATTGTAACGTGTTTGGACACTGATCCCACTTCTGACACCAATGTAACGTGTTTCGTTACTGAATACGCCGTAGAGATCGTTAATTAGTTTATTGAACAATCTACAAATATCGGCTACAATTAATTATCACAATGTTACGGGTTTCCACACTTTACAAACCCTAGAACAAAATCTCTTAACACTCTCTTCGAGAGTCTTCATGTACTAATAATGCGGGAGCTATACAAGTCTCCCTGAATTACACTCTCCGAGTATAACTGTACTACAGCACTCACTATGTCTTGAAAGCACACAATAAGTCTTCCACTCGCTGACTTCTTAGTTATCGCACACTCGCAGGCTGCTATGTTTCAACTTGCGAACTGAGAACTCGTCGGTAACGCACTGACTGGCTGACTGTCACAGTACAACTGAACTGTGAATAGCCTTCACTGCTCCTTATGTAGCCTCGATCGGACAATACGGCCACGTAATAGGCACTTTTGTTGCCTGGTGCTGTGTTGCTAGCAACGCAAGTGGTAGTAACCGCTGTTACTACCGTAACAATCCGGTTGTGTCACCGTTACGTTACCGTGCGGAGGAGGGGGAGGGGAGCGCTGACTCACCCGCCACGTCACTGCTGGTGGGGGGGGGGGTTCTCCTTTGCGCAACGTGTCACAATATACAGTATATATTCCAATATTTAAATCTTACCTTATTCACAGTTGCAATAGATGACAGTCAAAATGCGGAGATTTTCGAAAGTGAGAGAGCGCCTATTGTCTGACAGCACATTCTTGTATTTGGAGAAACTACTTTCCACATCTGCAGACACAATGGGAGTGTACTTGAAGTGTACCAAATCACTAGCAGGAAGTGCTTCAATATTGAAAGCACTGAAGGACTCTCCTGACAGAATTCGAGAAATGCTGCATAATGTTTCATGACCTGTGTTTTTATCCAGAACACTTTTCATTTTTCTTGACACCATTTTACCAATGTTCCCTGACACTTTCTCCAAATCACTGGCTATTTTTTTCACCAGAGCGAGCGAATCTTCTAGAGTTGCTCCTTTCTCCTGCAAGCATTGGATTCCTTCTGTCAAGGAACTGAAATTTGCCTTTATGAAGGCCAGCTTTCCTTCCATTTTGGTGCACGAGAACTGTTCCTGAGCAGCTTCAATTGCCCTCGCATCCTCCGTCTTCATTGAATCTACAATGTTTTTCACTACCTGAAAATGATCACAGTAGTAAATTGCAGCATCAATCCACGTTCCCCACCTTATGATGACGGGTTCCAGGGGCAGTGGAACACCAGGAGCCATAGACTTAAAAAGCATTTTACTAGCTGGAGCCTTGACAAAAATCTTCTTCATCCTCGACATGAGAGCATCTATTTGAGGAAATCTTGATCTCACTTCCTCTGTCACACTATGCAGTGCATGAGCTAGGCAAGTAACGTGCACCAATTTCGTATAAAACGACTTTATTGACTTGCCTGTTTTTACAATATATGGGGCTGCATCGGTCACAAAAAGCAAGATGTCGTCGTGTCGTATACCCTCTGGCAACAGTAGAAACATTGACCTGTTGAAAAGTTTACAAATTGTGGAATGATTAATGGATTCTAGCACCTCACTCGTAAGCAGAAACACTTCACCTGGTCCGCCAATTTCCAAGGTTCCAATGATGAAATTTGCCATTTAGCGAGCCTTCTTATTGCAGGTCTCATCAATGGAAACGAAAATCTTCTTCCCACATGCACTTTATTCCTAATCATTTCCAGGATACTGTTGTAGCACTGGGAAAGGTAGCTCTTCCTGAGTGTGGATTCATCCAGGATGGAATGACCACAGTTTACTTCCAGAAAATTTTTCAGTTTTCCATTGTTCAGAGCCCAAAATGGAATATTTGCGGAGGCCAGAGCATCACACAGATCTGTGAAAGAATCCGATGACTTATTTATACCTCAAGATGAACACTGTTGCAGTAACATTTGCACAGGTTTCTTTTTGTTCGAAATTTGCACTGCTCATATGTGCTTGTCGCGGCCGATATGTTGTACCATGAATCTTTTTTCTGCCGCTACTTTTGTGTCACACATCTTGCAGTATAAAATGTCACCATCAGTTGAAAATATATCATCTCCAAACTCAGCTACAAATTCCTTTAAATGACACGATTTAGCGCGCTTTGCTTTTGGCATCGTGATAAAATTAATCGCTCTAGCGCAACACAGAACTGAACTTTTCTCACCAAGAACCTTTCATCAGCTGTATCTTTATCTGTACGGTCAGGGCGAGGAACTGAAGACAGAAGGAGTTTTATTGAACAACAATGTCATATGAAGCAAGAGATTCCGACTAGAAATATGTGTAACTAAGCAAATTGCTTTGTACAAAGAGCCGCAGTGTGAGTAGTCATCGCCGTACCCTGTTTTATGATATGTATTGTCAGCACTTCCGTGAAACGAACGGAAAGGATGGGCCAGGAATACAACCTATTATTGTATACTAAGGCCTTTGTAGAGAGCGCTTAGGAGAAAGAGAAATAAAACTTTGCTTCCATATTATTCACATTTCAGATAACATACGAAGAAAAATTCCCTAAAATGTCCAAAAATGACAAGAAATACCCATAAATCCCCCAAAATTTACCAAAAACTTACCCCCAAAATGAAAAATGACCTTAAACCTAAAAATGTCAAAAAATGAAAAAAATTTACATTTCTCTAACCAGCAGCTCATATCTGAAATTTATATATTTAAGAGCATCGCATAGGATACAAGGAAAACAAGATGACATGTCATCAAAATCCGGGCCCTGCTTATTATTAACCATGGCAATCATATACAGTACACTTCTAAACTTTGATTTACTTTTGGGGTGGGGTGGGGGCAAGGACAGGGAGTACACAGTATATATAAACATAATTTTCCTCTCTTGCTCAGCTTTGGATATTCAGAGTTAGATGGAGAGACATGGCAAACACTGTGCATGTGTAGACGTTAGGAAACTTCCTGTCCTTTTCACAGTATGTTAATTTCATTACAGGCCTAATTATGATTTATGTCATTTTTGGAGGCATTTCAGTTATGCACATCTTTGAATTATTAATTTGAATTTGTTTTGAATCCATCATTTGTAGATTGGTCCTGCACGGTTCAGAGCGCCTGAAGTTTTGTTTCGGCCAGACCTCATTGGGGAAGAGTATGAGGGTCTCCATGAGGTTCTGCTCTACTCCATACAGAAATCTGACCTGGATCTACGCAAAGTATTATTTCAAAATATTGTTCTTTCAGGAGGCTCCACATTATTTAAGGTATATTGGTTATAGTTTGCATAATTGTAAGTGTATGAGCAGGTAAAATTATACTGCAGAATGGCCCGTTGAAATCTGTGGGAAATTAAAAGTATTAACACAGGAATTGTGTTTATTATAGGCTGTGTAATCTAGAAAAAGTATTCCGCCCTAGAAATATGTACAAATAGATCCCATAGTGATAGTATTTATATGAAAGGGTGAAGTTTAACCTTTAAATGCCAGACTTTCTAATGGTTGTAAGGTGAGCCGGATGGAGTTTATTTAAATGCCCATTGCAGTTGGGTGTTTAAATGTCTGTTGCTATTGGTTGTTTAAATAATTTTGAGAATTTTATTAAAAATGCTGTATCTAATGCAGTTTTTATGAAAAAGGAATGATATTAAACCTCTATATATTTAGTCCATCAATAATGCAACAATCAATAAAATATTCACCATTCCACACCAACATGACATGTTTAGGCCACAGACGGCCATCCTCGGGTGTTTTGATGCATCTAAACTGTTAACACTATTTTGATGTGAGCTAAAATTGCACGTTGCAGTCTGCTTAAATTAAAATCTTTTGTAAAATCCTATCCACCTCTTAAGGGGCGTTGTCCACTTGTTTAAAGCTATATGATGCATGTATTCCAGACAGTTTGTCTTAGCAGCTACGTCTGTGATCTGCAATATGCCCCTTGTTTGTGTGTTGTTCCCTCAGGCATTGTGTGGTGTTGTCTTCACTAGTGCTCTTTTTTTTCTGGTCTGTATTTTGGGCTTTAGTCATGTGTGCCACTTTTTGTTGTTGTTTGAGGTACACTTCATTTCTTGTTGTAATTTTTTATTTATGGATTGTTCCATGTTACCCCATGTCTGTTGCCGTATGTTTGTGTTGTGTATGTGGGCATGGGAAAGTTGTGTATTTAATTGTTATTTCTTTTTATATAAGAATTTTATTTATTTTTTATATGTAACATTTGGGCTTGTGTTCGTGTTTTCTTAGCTTCTTCATTGTTTATTGATATTTTCATGTATGCGTATTTTGGTATGAGTCTTTTCTTCAAACATAGTGAAGACAACACCACATGATGCCCAAGAGATCAACACACAAACAAGGAGCATATTGCAGATCACAGACGTAGCTGCTAAGACAAACTGTCTGGAATACATGCATCACATAGCTTTAAACAAGTGGACAACGCTCCTTACAAGGTGGATAGGATTTTATGAAAGATTTTAATTTAAGTAGACTCTTAACGCACAATTTTGGCATGCATCAAAACAGTGTAACAGTTTAGAGGCATCGAAACATCTGAGGATGGCCGTGTGTGGCCAAAACATGTCATGTTGGTGTTGAATGATGAATATTTTAATGATTGTTACATTATTGATGGACTAAATACATAGACGTTTAATAAAGATGTGCAACAGGATGCTGAAATACAGAATTACAAATGGTATTAACTCTGTTTTTATCAGCAAAGAACATAGTGTCACATATTATAATGTAAGCTTTGAAAATATTTATACAAAAATGTTATACTCTATTTTTATTTTTGTTTTGTTATTTTTTGTTGTTGTATTTTTGATGCTTACTCTAGAAAAGGTTTTGCATTATAAGATTATTCCTGCTTGTAACACTTCACAAACTTCTGCAGTCTCTGGTGTCATAAAACAACTGGAAACACTAACAACCCTGGTTGTTTATCAGCTTGTAAGGTTCACGTCTTTACTACGCTCTTCAGATATTCGACTTTTTGACTAATGGGACAGAAAAGTGAAAGTATGGGAATTCAAGAGGGACTAGAGAGAAAACTCTATATTCTGTATATCAGTGCCAAGCCCTTCCATTGAAGCTGTGAGAGAATAATGGCCTTCCTGTGGTCGCAACCAAACACTTGCATCATAGCTGAGATACAGAGTGCATTCAGTTTCCTCCGAGTTGATGGTGAATTCAAATATCATGGTTTCATTCATCATGCCATGATAATGAAACGTCATTTGGAAGGTGATGAAATTGAAAGGCAGCTGAAATGCAAGAAATGTGACGTGGGAGTGTGCATTCTTGGGTGCTTCGAGGTTCACCATACAAGGCGTGATTCAGTTAGATGACCAGTGGGGGGGTCAAGTCTGTGTATACATCACTCAGATAAAAATAAAAAAAAAAAAGGGTATGTACATTGCATTTTACTACATTTAAAAACAATGGGGTGTCTGATCAACACATTGCCAGGCAACTTTCCTCTGGACACAAGACTCAGGATGGTCTTTCCACACGGTGAAACTCCTCCATATTTTGGTTGTTAAGTTATATCTTGCTTGATTCAGCATTACAGGAAGCTGTGGGTTTTTCATGCTGGTCATTACCTTCCGAGGATCTTCAGACATAACGCTGCTTGGCTTATTTTTATGGAATGTTATAAAAGAGATTTTGTACAAGACCAAGGAGTAGAGCCCTTGGATTGAATTATGAATGCTCCAGCTTTCATACAGGAAAACCCCAAAATGATGCAATCGGCAATAAACTTTTGTTTGAATAGTTAAGGTGTATCCCGTTAAATATACAAATAAATTAATCTCATTAATATTCTTGTTTGTTTTCTCTGGATCCACATAAAATACCTGTAGCCTTTCAGCAGTTTGATATAGAACCATCGTTGTATTAACACGTTTACTTGCCATTTCCTCTTGTGTCACCCTAAGTGTGCAAGTCTGGCTCTGAAATATTTTGTATAATTTGAGCTATTACTAGCATCATTATATAAACCAAGAGTAAATAAATATTTATGTTGCCTTGACTTATATTTTTATTTTTTGTATTCTAGGGATTTGGTGATAGGCTGTTATCAGAAATACGAAAATTAGCTCCAAAAGACATCAAAATAAGAGTAAGTTATATTAAATTCTCTCTTCACTCACCATGTTACATTTTTTTGGGGTATATGTTATAAAGTAACAGTTTTTATGTTTATTAACATAGTGGTACTGTTACTGCTTTAGATATCTGCACCCCAGGAACGCTTATATTCCACATGGATTGGCGGTTCAATCCTAGCATCTCTTGACACCTTCAAAAAAATGTGGGTATCGAAGAGGGAATATGATGAAGAGGGACAGCGTGCAATCCATAGGAAGACATTCTGAAGTGATGTGGGCATGATACTGGATGCTTTCTGCCAGTCTTATCACACTGTGGACATTTGGCTGTGGTCTTTGCGAAAGATATGAACATGAGTCTCCTCAAAAGTGTGATACTGGACTAGTATGCAGGTTGCTTGTGAAGTATTTCTATATTTGCTTCTTGTAGATGTGCACACTTATTCTACAAAATAAGACAAATTATTAATTGGAGTTTGTGACAGATGTACTGGAGAAGAAAGATGAGACAGGAACAAGCACTTATTGGAACTAATATGTAGAAGAACTGAGAGTAAAACAAAATGTTAATTTGTATGATACCTATTTCTTTAGTTGGAGGTACAGTTTATATAGAAAAACATTCTGTTTTGCCATAATTCGAACTAATAATCAGGCATGCTGTAATTTGAATGTTGTTTCTGATCTTTCCTTTTAAAATGTTTATAGGCACATTAATAGGCAAGCTGCCTGAAGGATGCAGTTCATTTAAAACTATTCTGCCTGACATCGACCCTAAAAGACTGTCTTGGATAATGCTGATATGGAACTGGTGTAGTTCTCCCATTTCATATATGTATTTGATCAATTAGAAAAGAATGGTTTAAGCAAAAAATACATATGAATTTTATGTCTTAAGCTCAGTGACATAAAAATTCATAGTTTGGAAAATTAAGCAATTCATTGGCATATTTTTAAGCCAATATCTGGAAAATATATGCAAAGTGGCCTTGAAAGTTTGTATTTTTTAAATTAAATCTCATTATTATACTAAACAATGCTGAAATTATAGCATTATTCCTAACTTGGATCTGCTACACACACACACACACACACACGCAGACACAGCATCATGCGGTCTGATTCTTCTGTTGGATTGAGTACGTGATGTTTTTATATGCAGTATTATCAGAATGAAAGATGGATATGTCAGTTTCCCGAGCAAGTAGAACTGCAGCTCCATGACTTGTGTGAAGTTAAGTCTCCCTATGACCCCTACCCTCATTCTCTTAAGTTTATTGGAGATTTTCTTCCAGTAGTTAGCCTGGACACTTGTTATTATGTGAGACTAGGGTGTGCTGAGGTGTCTGCGCTTAACAAGTCACGTGGTTATGATGCCTATAGAAGTCGTGCAGTACTGTGTATTGTAGTGGCTGTGATGTCTATAGATGCCACGCATGTTTCTAGCTACTCTGTTATAGATATAACTTGTAAGTTATGCTTGCAAGATGTTCTGGCTGTTTTCTGCAGACTGTATGTTCCATCATGGCATCAGGTTTCCTCGTTCTCAGTACAGCAAGGAATGTTGGCATGCTATGCTCTTCTCTCTCCATTGTGAACCTGATGTTTGGATGGATGCTTTTGAGATGCCCTTGGAAGTTACTTAATTCTTTCATACCATGGGACCAGACAACAAAAGATATCATTGACATGCCTGTACCAATAGGAGGGTTTGTGTGTAGGTGTACTTGGTGCCTGTTGTACATGGTGTTCCTTGCAGAAGTTATCTATTATTGGAACAAGTGGTGATTCCATAGCAGGCCTGTCCATCTGATCTTGGAATCTACTGCTGTAGGTGGAGTAAATTGACACCAGAATTTGTTGGAACTGATGTATGGTTCTGTCATTGATCCAATAGCTGCAGAGTACTCTTTACTGGAATACTTCAGAACTAATCATGATGACTGCATCCTGCACATAAATGCTGTGCAGTTTTTGGATGAAATCATTGGAATTTTGGGGCAGAGAGTCCCATGTTGGACTGAACAATTCTGTGAGTTGTTCAAATCACATGTAGAAAATATATGTCATATTTTGTTCAAAATTCAAATGTACATGCTGTTATGTATAATTTCATAACTAGAGAGCAATGCTGTATAACAGGATTAAGAGAATTATTCCTGTTATTTCAAGTATAAGTATAAATACAAACGAACACATATATTCATATCCTATATATATTGGGTGTCCAAATTAAAGGTATCCAAAATAAAAAATTTATATCTTGGAAACTAATTGTCATACACATATCTGGTTTATGTCATCGGAAAGGAAAACCCTGTAAGATTTTTTTTTTCCATGCCTGGCTTATGCACATGCGCCGCCACATTTCTGCCACCATGTTAGGAATCACTTGGACAGAGTGATGGCTGGGAGATAGATTGGCAGAAGTGGATCAATCACTGGGCCTCCTAGGTCGCCAGATTTAACCCCACTGAATTTTTTCTTGTGGGCTTATGTGGAGAACATTGTCTACCATGTTAAGATCAACAACCTGCAACACTTGAAAGCCCACATAAGGGACGCTGTGGCTATGGTAACACCAAACGTGCTTCAAGTATGGATATTTGTCATGCCACTTTGAAATTTATTGAGAAAGTTATATACTCAGAAAAACCTGTGATAGTTTCCCTTTGTAGTGGTGTAACCCATAAATGTGTATAATAAAAGCTTTCTGAGATATAATTATTTTGGATACCTTTTGTCTGGACACTGTATATTGCATCTCACTTGTTGAGATATATATGGTATACAAGGTGCGGCAATAAAGAAACCGGATTCATGCTCTAACCCTTTATTGAAAAAAAAATCAGACAATCGAAATGTT